AACTTGTTAAGAACTCGTATACAACAAATAGAATCGGTCAGAATTCCAAAAAAGTATAAAGCGAACCAGAAATATTACAAACTATTTAACCAACACATTTGAAGTTCTGGAATTATGTGAAGATTGTCCTCGGATTTCATACTTCAGTCAGTTAGTCAGCTACAACGTAGGACCAGGCACATATGTGCGTCGGTCCAGGTTGCCATACCTGATTAGCACAACAAGATGAACACCAGATTCATAACAGTGGTTAGGTAAAAGGTGGTAATATATAGGGGAAAGAGTGCATATAGAGATATAGTACAAGAAAGAATTAGTTCATAAAAAGAAAGATATGAAGCGATTTTAATTTCTTAGTTTAAGGGAAGACAGAGAGTGTATACACCGACTCCATTGTAATCGATTCTGAGCCGTCACAAAGAGTATCCAACCATCGGTTACGATAGTCACGCGGACCCCAACGAAGTAGTCTGCATCTACCAACATGGCTCAGACTAGAAGTTAGTGACTTTGTGGACTGATGCCACGTTTTGGTTTGGCCGCCCCTAACTTTCTTCCAACCATCCCGAACACCAGTTAGCATTGCACATCGTGATAATCGGTGTTCGGGCATACGTAACACGTGGCCCAACCATCTCAGTCGATGAAGATTCACAACCTCATCAACTGAGTTACCATCACTCCCTAATACTCTGCGTCGAACCTCACTATTACTTACCCTGTGATCCCAGCAATATTTCTAAGGCATCTGTGGTCAAATACTAGTAGCTTACGAGTGTCTTCTACCCTTAATGACCGTGTTTCGCTGTCGTAAATTAAAACAGAACGAACTGCCGCGCAGTATACTCGTCCAGTTATTAATAGACGGATATCTCACCTTCGCCATAGGTGACGTAAGTTGGTAAAAGCCAAGCGAGCTTTTCCAATCCGTGCTGAGATTTCATCAGACACCAACCCTTTAGGGCTGATCAGACTTCTAAGATAAGTGAAGTTGTCAACGCGTTCGACTACTTCACTCCCTCTCCTTAGTTCAGGTGTTGACGCAGGCCAGTCCTGAAGCAACAACTTGCATTTAGAGGGAGAGAAGCGCATTCCAAACATTCTGGTATCGTTGCTTAGTGCTGCCAGAAGACTCTGCATTTTGTCAGCGTCTTCACCAAACAGGACTATGTCATCTGCGTATTCTAAGTCGATAAGTGGACCTCCTGGGAGGAGATCAATACCCGAGAATTCAGTAGACGAGAATGTTATTTCCATCAATAGGTCTATGATGAAGTTAAACAAAAATGGAGAAAGTGGACAGTCTTGACGGACAGCACTTCAGGTTGCAAAAGTAGATGACAGTTCGCCATAAGCCCTGACTTCACTAGTAGTGTTCGAGTAAAGAGCCTTTACAAGGTTTATGTACTTCTGGGGTACGCCTTTCAATGACAGACACTGCTACAGAATCTCGCGGTCTACAGAGTCAAATGCTGCTTTTAAGTCAAGAAAGACCACCATTGTCGGTCGCCGATAAGTATGCCTGTGTTCTAGAACCTGACGAATGGTGAATATGTGGTCGATGCCGCCACGACCAGGTCTGAAGCCAGCTTGGTTCTCTCATGTTTGCAGTTCACGAGTCTTAGTTAGGCGTTTGATAATTATCGAGGCTAGTATTTTAGATACTATATTTGTTAAACTAATCCCTCTGTGGTTGTCACAGGATGATTTTGACCCTTTCTTATATATTGGGACGATAAGCGATTGCGACCAGTCAGATGGGATAACGTCTAACTCCCAGATCTTAGCTAAAATATTAGTCAACCTAATCGCTAAAATTGGACCACCATCCTTAAAGACTTCTGGAGCCAATCCATCTGCCCTTCCTCGTTTCAGATTAACAATAGCCTTCTCAACTTCAGCAACAGTTGGGGCACCTACATCAATGTTCCATTCACATTGTCTGGGAATGGAGGGTAGTTGTAGAGTAGCTGAAGGCCAGTTGAACTGTTCCCTAAAATGTTCCGCCCATTGTTCTAAACGTCGACTGGGAGCAGATGAGAGTATCGTCTTTTTCCGAAATAATCTCACTTACACTTGACTTATTAATTCCAGTTTCTTTTATTAGTCTGTAGAGCTGTCTTGTGTTCCCTATAGTCGCCGCCTTTTCCATCTCTTTTGCTTTCGTTACCCACCACTGCTCACGGTCGTTTCTTAGACTTTTTCTTAACCTAGATCTGATTTTTTTACACTCTTCATCATGTTCAGAACCTGATGGGACGAGTTTGCGAGAATCCATCAGTGTGATAGACCTTGAAGAAATCCACTGGTTCTTTGTAACTCTGTGGTTCAAGTCACTAATAGATGTCACTGCTGCTTCCACAGCTGATTGTATGCCTTTCCAAGCAACATCTGGGTCAGCCTCGTCTTCAGAACTGCCTAAGTGTGACCTCAGTTGTTCCTGGAACCTACTTTTGGTTTTCTCGTTACTCAACTCAGTTCTAATGGGTCTTTTTACTGTGGCTTCTTTGCGTCCAGTGAGGCGCAAGCAGATGCGTGCCCGTATTAGGGTATGGTCGGAGTCCAAGCAGGTACTCCAGAATGAGCGACAATCTTCTACCGACCCTCTCCAACGATGACTGATGGCAATATGGTCTATTTGAGTCCATCGTTGGTTTGGTGTAGGGGGTCGCTATGTTAGACGATGCCTCTCCTTATGCTTAAAATTTGTGTTTGCTAAAAATAAGCGATTTTCTTAGCACAGTTGCAGCAAACGGTCACCATTATCTGTTCGCTGTGCCGGAATGCTAAAATATCCATCTAAATGCCTTTCTGTTTGGTTTAAACTACCTATCTGGGCATTAAAGTCACCCCCTACTAGTACTATGTCTGAGCGTTTAGCTTTCTGAAGAAGTTCAGAAAGCTTTCTGTAAAATTCATCTTTCACTTCATCTGAGCTGCAGTCAGTGGGAGCGTAGGTAGAAACGACAAAAAGGCAACGACGTGTGTCCCTACCCTTCCGAGTTCTTACATAGCCGTTTAGCCGGACAGCACATAGACGACTGTTGACGGGGATCCACTCTAGCAGTTCTTGTTCCGCCCTCATGCTTAGTGCTATGCCTACACCTGCCAGTCCACGAGAACTGGCCATCGGGTCACCAGATACACGGAGGGTGTATCTCGTTGGCTCTCCGTTTTTCCGAGGTGAGGTCAAGTGAATGACCACGCTGGAATCCTGTATGCGTGTTTCGGAGACACAGCGTACATCAATGGTACGAGATTCTAGGGTTTTAGCCAAGGAAGCCTGCTGACGGATTTGACATAGGGTTCGTACGTTGAAGGCTCCAATGTGTAGTTTGAAGCGAGATTTCAGTAGACTTGGGATAGTGTTTTGAGCACTACAATCGTTGGCTATGGTGACACTTGGGAAGGAAGCCGAAAGAGGAAATTTAGAGGTGAAAGTCGATGTAGGAGGAATAATAGGAATTGAAGAGGAAATTTGATTATGAATATAGTGGTCTTGAGTGCTGCTAGAGATATGAGGGCGGTTATCACTTCCCGGTTGCCCACACCGTGGAAGGTTTGTTCTGGAGGTACCTGAAAAGGAAATTGGATTAGAGGCGGTCTCAGCGACCTGAGAGCGTGACCGCAGTGCCCAAGGGACAACTGCTTGAGGCCGGTCGCGCACGTCCTTTTCGTGGAAGGTTTTTGACGTGTTAGCTCCGTTCTTCAAAGAGCCTTACCGCCGGAGACGGAAATCCGTGAGGTAAGGTGAGGTGTGACATTTTTAGGGTCGACCTTTTCTAACCCCACCCCTCCTTGTGGAAAGGCAGCATCGCTGTAATGCTGGTTGTCTGAAGGAAACACCTTACTGCTGTCACACCTCTGTACAGTCAGCAGTACGACTTCGCCTTCGGACCTTAGGTTTGTTGCTTTTAGTCTTACCGCTCTTCAACCGACCTGTCTGACAGGGTAGGACCTTGAGGAACGGTTGTTCCAGCCAGTATAGCTCGGTTGCTTCATCACGATAGGCAAGCCCGACCACCACGTCAAGGTAGCAACAACGGTCGGGCTAAACATTCCTAATTTTCAGAAATCTGTACTTTATAGACAAATGCATGAGAACTAACACTTAGATCAATGGAAGTAGGACAGATCTACCCTAGTAACTAAACTTATGATCATAAATGCCGAGAAAAGCTTATAGTTAATCGATAGATGATGAATAACCAGTTGGTTAGTTCAATGTTACCCACAATGAAGTAGGACTAGCAAATGATATGAGTACTACGCGTAAACTCATCAAACCCCCAGGCTGCGAAGAAATAGAGGTTAGTCTGACAATACCACGTTTAGACAAAACTTGAAATTATTCTTAGTCGCATGAATATGAGTGGACTATACCATCATCACTTATGTTAACCATAATATTTCATGTTTATCGAACCTGACAGACCATAACTTAACGTATTTACTAGAACTATAATGCAACACTTGACTTATCGAATGTACGTTATAAATCAGTTTGAAGGCGACACATTAACTCGCACGAAAAAATAAAAACTTACTTCGTCAAAAAATGTCTGCGTTTTGCACAAAATCTGCTTCAGTTCAGACAATTCCAGGTATGTCTTCTTTAGCTTTTCGGCGCTTGAGTTCACTTCTTTTAGTTCGTTTTCTAGTTTCTCAAAAATACTTTCCAAGTCGATAATTTCACGTGGGGCCGGAGCTTCTGGATTTTCGCCAGTGTCCAATATCGGAAATTTATATTTTTCGATCTCCTTCTCCAGGAATCTTAGTTTTCGCTCCATTTCATCACATCTTCGAACTTCATTTACAAATTTTCTCTGGAAGGCGTTGGTACCTGGGACAGTATCTCGAAAATGCACCAGTCCCAACTCCCCTAACTCTGATATGCACATGTAGGCTATGTCTGTGTGTAGAAACATCTGAGACAGTTGCATTTCTTCGCTCCGGAACAACGAACCCATCTTCAGTTACCAGTGAAAACGAAACTAGACTATAAGCCATACTTATGATGATACATTAAGCAATACTTTTTTTCCGGCATAAAAAATGAAGACAAATATAATTATACATGTGAATTATGTTTATATTACATATCGCTAGATTGAATTATAATGTTTATTTACAAATATCGCATCGAACTATCATCACGTGGATAACTTTTATAACCTTTTGTGAATGAACGAGGTTTAAATTTCGAATAAATGTTTTTATTTTTTGAACGAATATTGTATTTTTGTTCTTCCCCTTCTTCAGTTTCCATATTGGCATATTCCAACAACAATTTTGGGACTTTATCTAAATTACCAACAGATTCGAAAAGTTGGCAAATTCCACGTGACACTGTTCTGCTTGATTGTTGTTGTTGTAACAAGGTTTCATGAATAAGTGTTATAGCCTCACCAGATTTACCCATACGACCAGTTCGTCCAATCCGATGAACATAATCATCTAATTCATTTGGGAGACCAATATTAATAACTGCAAAAACATTGGGTATATCAATACCTCGAGCAGCAACCTAATAAATGACAGATAAATGATATTTCTAGTAGCCCAATTACAAGTAAAATAGACGACTCATATCAACATTGCAACTTAGATTAGCTAGTATGTAGTGAACCGTTACTTTTACTGTAGCAGAGCTAGTGATATTAGCATGGTGTTAAAAACACGTATATTGAAACGGAGGTTGAAACAAGTAACTGTATGCTCGAATGACAAGCTGTTTTAAAATTGAATTATATTTCTGAAAAGGTAATAATCAAGGGCTCTTTTTCCTAAAATGCTTTTTGATTATGAAATAAGGATGTTATGTACGCTTAAAAACCCATAGTTCACACAAAATGTTCCTAAGTGTTAGAACAGCGAAGCCAATAATGAGTGAACTAAAAACAAACTATGGTAGTAAACGCATGTGTTGTTCGAAAATCTTTGTGATATATAACTTACATAAATAGACCAAGGTAACAGAAATCACAATGATAATTTTAATCTCAATAATAATAATAATCGAAAAACATCAAAATCCCCATCCGTATAACTTAGTTTGCTGATTGATAATAGATAGTTAGGAGTTACCAAGATTTATCTATCTAGTAAAATTCTGAAAGTCTGTCGTGATAAAAAAGTTTGTTATTTAGACCCAAATACATTAAGAATGTAACTATAATACACTATGGTTTGTTGGTCAGACTGGACGCTAACATAAATTATCGGTGTGTTGTTTCTGTTTAGCGAAAAGTACTTTAACTCAATTGAGCTTGATGATTATGTATTACATAGAAAAATCTGGTGATAATGTCGAAATAAATTATAACACTACGGAAACAAAATGAAAACAGTGAAGTGATGCCTATAAATAGAGGCTTTATAGCTAAAACATACAACGACAAATAAAATCCCACTCTGCAAATCAAGCTAACATTCAACAGTAACAACAATAATTATTTGAATGCACTACAGGGGAATTATCTTTTTTTGAAATGCAGAAGGTAGCAAAAAGACGTCTTACCGATGAAGCGACAAGAACATTCACTGTTCCTTTACGGAATAGATCTAAGGATTTTGCACGAGAAGACTGAGTTTTATCACCATGAATAGAGGTCGATCTTATGCCGTTAGAATAAAGATAATTATCAATTTGGTCAACTTCCCTTTTGGTATTACAGAATACAAGAACTCGACAAACACTTTCCCCACATGTATCCAAACCTAGAAACAAGACAAAAGTGATACGATATATATAGGGAGAGAGAGCAAATGATAAGCAGTATTTGAGGTATAAAAAAAATAATGTGAAAATTAACGGTTTAATAAATTAGTGATATCTAAATTAAGACATTAGGAATGATTTTTTTTCTGTTGCTAAACAACATCATAGGCTGTGACTGACTTGTATGATTTTAAAATGAATAAATTTATTTCAAAAAGTAATTCAATTGAAATACTTATAATATTTGTTTACTATAATGGTGCAAAGATTGGAAAAACGAATAAATGTGTTTGATTAAAGACATAATCATCATGAAGTACAAACAATTATCAAAAAGAATAAGGTATATGACTAGGCAGTTCCTCTCATTAATACCGATAATAATCGTCTTATTAAATACTAATGTTTAGTGCGGTACAGAATTATCAGCATATTTGCATGTCTTGTTAATAACTTGCCCGCTTTTTCAAGTATGTATTTTGAAATGACTAAATGAAGTATAAGCACTTATTCAATACTATTGAATTGAAACTATTCACCCTATACGATACACGATTCATAGGATGTGTAGTCCCGAATTTTGTATAAATGCTACGGTGACTTTATATAGTAAATTATTGGAACGATTGATTCAACATACGTTTCAATAAAAATCAAAAAACGTTTGCACTATCCAATTACAACCAAATATGCGTAAACGAGAGAAGAATTTTACCTGGGCTATTATGATAGGTGGGTCAGACTAATATGTGATTCAGTCATGTATTATATATGTGAAAGTTTACTTTATTCCCTATATCAAAGAGACATTTAGATTTATATCACTCAAGATAAGCATACACATTTTTAAGTCTAGAACGTTTAAGTTCTAAAAAGAACGTGCCAACATGTTTCAAATTTCTGAATACCTTTATTATCAATTTCAAAAAGGCTTGGTAAAATACTACTTAGGTCTGTTCTTAAAAAATCCACTTCTATAGATGTTAAACGTACTAAACAAAAGTGTTAAAAAAAACATTAGTGATTTACTTTTAGATTTCATTCCTAGAATTAACTGTAAAAGATGATTCGGTACAGCGGATTCAGGATTACCGACAACCACTTGGAACTGCTGATTAATTTCTTTGGGAATTATTCGTGTAAGTCGTTCAAATTCATCTTCATTTTTATTACGAACTGCTTTTCCCCACGTAGGGACTATAGTGCCAGTATTAGATTCAGCACTGCTGAGTGTAAGAGAAATACAGTTTGGACCGCGTAGAAAATCTTTGGCTAAAAGAGCAACCTCACGTGGATATGTCGCACTGAATAATGCAGTTTGACGATTATTCCCTGTTGGTGGAGGCATTTGAAATTTTGGTGACTCTAAAATTTGACGTATTTGCTCTTCAAAACCCATATCTAGCATTCGGTCTGCCTCGTCAAGTATTAAAGATCTGAAAAAGGCAAGTAATTGCAAACGCAATCTCGATGACAAAGTTAAGAAATTTGCAACAAAAGTATGGCAACAAACACATGACGGTTTAGCTTAATAGTACATAAACAAGGAAAAGAACGACGAGATCGTTCCATAAATATCTTTCATTCTAAATATACCAATATCTACAAAAAATATGAAAAAGAGCAAGGAGAGAACTGGTGGATTGAACGATTTCAAACCAACGGAAAACAAAACCGCTTGTTTGCAAATAAATTATTAGACTATAAATAATCTTTAGTTAAACAGTTATTATAAAGTGAAGAAAACATGAGTGATTGGGCGTTGACGACAATGGGACAGAAACAAAACATGAGGCTATTTACTTCAAAATGTATAACTCAGTAAACAGAGCTTTTAGATAAGTCATATATTTATCATACCTTTTCCACTTAGGTAGCTTACAAATCAACCTCTAAGAAAGGGAATCTAGATAAACTGAGAAATTAATGTAACATGGAGAACAATATTATCATGTTATCTCATTAACTTTTCAAATTATTGAAAGAAATAACGAAACTACATGTCGTAAGTACCAATAATTATTATGCTAATAACCTGTTAGGTCCCGATAAACATAATGAATGGTAACCTTGGGATCCAATACTAAACGTATATTTTTTATCGTATAATTGTTAAATAACTAAACTATTCATATTCCTCTTATTATAAACTTTATTTTGACCTATGAACCATTATTATACGTTTCACCATTCTTGAATTATACCCTTTCTATTAGTCACTGCCTCCCACATCCACAGCCACATTTGGCTATATTTTGCACAAATGTTATTTTCTATTTTATGCTACGTTGTGGTCTGTTTGATTGGTATATAAACTCAGTATGTTTGAAATAAAATGATTTATATTGCAGAGGCTGAAACTTGTGCTCTGGACTTAACTGGCTGGGCTAGGCGGAAAGCAGGGCCAATCAGGACTTTAGGCTGCTCGCACGTGCTTTACGCGTCCTTGATCCGACCGATAATTCGCTGCTGCTGATTGGCGGCTTTGGGCTATAACATAACCATTGTGTCCGATTCCAGTGATTTACAATCACTAGTTCCAGCTTCAATGATCATCTAGTCAAGTCTAATTTCCGAGAATACAAGAACTTTTACACGATTCTAGCTGTTAGGTTTTGTTTACATAAGACTATCTCCATTCATTTAAAGAAAATAACACTAAAAGCAGGAATTTGCAACGTATACGATGAATATTAGGGGAATGGATAGTATTTGATTTACGAAGCACCAAACTGAAGTATGAAAGATGGCCAAAACAGGTCATTAGGATATTAAATAGCAATTTGTAAAATGTTTGGTATTTTTCGGTAAATGGTATATAAAGGATAACAATAAATAGAAATATAGTTCATCTCCCAAGTACAATTTTATGTACATCACTTTGAACCATAATGTTCGAGTTGAAAACTAGTGATACTATTCTATTTAAACGTTTGATCAAATGACTGGAAGCAGAGTACTTTAATTACTAAACTACCACTGCAAACAACACTGTATTATATGAAACGTAAATAAACGTGTCCAGTTTCATTACTGAATAAGGTAAAGGGAAGCCAAAAAATGCTGTATATGACCATAATTGTTTTATGAAACCTAGTGAAAACTGCTATGAAATCGAACATTTATTATGCCGTATAAGAGATATTTGGCGATGTATTTCTTGTTTAAAGACTTAATCAACTAAGTCAGGGATGATCAACATCGAATATTCGACAACGTGGTAAGGAGTTGTGCAAATTTTATTTATTAAACGCGACTAATTATCTATGGTAAACTACATTCAATGAACTGTGAAACACAATAATTAGTCATCTAAAAGAACAGCATAAAATTTGATATACGAAATATAAAAGTTAACAATTCAACAACATTCGTTTGCATGGTTTCACAAGTATCCGCATCTAAAAGCAGTGATATTTTGTTGTCTTTACAATAAATAGATACGTAAATAAAATCTAACTAGCCACAAACAGGTTCTGAGTAGCAAAGAGTTTATGATGAAAACCTGCGATGCATCTTTAACATTAATAGAAGAAATAATATAATTAAAGTAGCAGTAACACGATGGAATTACCTGCAGAATTTTAAGGATATACAGTCACGGTTCAAGAAATCCAAAAGTCTTCCAGGAGTTGCAACTACAAAATGACATCCCTTACTCAATTCAAACATCTGTCGTTCTGGTCGCTCACCACCAAATACACCTACTGATCGAACGAAGGTTTGGTTACATAACTATATAATTAAAAATTATTATTATAAATAACCGAAAAATAATTACTTTACGTAGTTCTAACTGTATTTGTTGGACTAACTCACGAGTTGGTACCAAAATTACAGATGAGGGATACTGGCGTCGTGTACGAGAGGCGAGCTACATAAGTGAATAAAAAATATGAATGCGTTCAGAAATCGTTTTACTGCTGTAGTGAAAGCAAACTATAATTCCATGTACAATGGAGTGCAACGCTTCCCAAATATCTAAAATAGGTGCTTATAGTCAGTTGAACAAGTGACTGGAATTTTAATATATTTTCTGAAAAACGAAATTTAAATAGAATTCTTGTGGGACAGAAAAACTAATTAACTTTAAGCCAGTTAAATCTATGTACGAAACCCCGCCCAATCTCACTATGACTAGATTTTACACAACAAGAAGTGCGGCTTAAACTCTAGTAAACGAATGAGCTTGGTAAGTAATATGCACGAAATAGGAAACTCGACAATGGATCCTTACAGAAACTAGTAAAAATAGTGGACATTTGTATGCAAGCATGATAATTAGAGACGAAGTAAAACCTTTATTGCAGTGATAAAAAACTATGTAGAAAAAGAGCATTAAAGCTGATAAACGGAAATATATGGAAGACCTAGCAACATTAGCAGAAAAAGCTGTAAACGAAAAAAATATCAGATAACTATACGATATAACCAAGAAACTAGGAAGCATAGCAAACCAGAGCTACCAATCAAGAATAAAGATAATTCAATCATTCAAATCGAAGAGCAACGGAGCTATGGGGCTAATCACTAGACATCAACTTCCTTGACCATGAGAACGCATTTGACAGCGTGGATAGGAAAACCTTATGCAACCTTCTCCAACAGCATGATATACCTGAGATCGTCAATATCATACGGTATTCTTGTGACGCACTACACAAAAAAGTCATGCATGGAGGGCAGCTCACAGATGCATACCGGGTGGAAGTCAGTGCTAGACAAGGCTGATTGTTCTTAACTTTTCACTTTTTTCATTTGTATTGATCACTGATTAACATCACAAAGCAATTTGTGATGTCTGGTTTTCACCGTTTCTCAATAAATAAAATATTTTAATGCTAAAGCGATAATTTAGTCGCATACTACATTGTTAACAGACGTTTTTAATCAGAGGAAACTGAGAACATTTCTTGTTATACTGTTTTTTTATTTAAAGCATGCATTCTTTAACACTTCAAGACGTACTTGAAACAAAGGTTATAAAAAGACGAGAATTTATTTCTCAGTACGTGTTATAGTTTCTTTTAGTACGATCCAGTTATTCTTATTGCTTAGTACTCTTGGACAGTACATCGCTTGGCAAGTCCCCAAACCAGAATAAGGTTGGACAGGAATGTAATTATATCCCAGATAAAATGGTTGGATGGATTTACAATAAGAAAAACAGTATATTAATAATTTTTACATAAGATTCTAATCTTCTCTAAATTTCCGCTGGTGCTGAATGGCCAAGAAATAGCCCCATAATAACTATGCACGAAACATACTTTAATCAAATCTATATCCTGCTAACAACACGGGAACTTGACAAACAGATATCGACATAGAGCCTGGGACAAGTTTACAGTGACCTAAGTTGAGACACTACGGTTACGCGAGATAAAAATCACAAAAGATAGAAATGGTGTAGTATCAATAACAAACAGAAATACAAAACCTTGAGAATATCCTTTGTAAAGGCTGAGGGGAAAGGCATGTTTAGTGGCCTTATACCTGACTCCAGTTAGATCGTTTGCCGATCGCTATCGAAATGTATGTGCCGCCAATCCTCGTATGTAATTATCGACTTAAATCGCGTCAGTGAATAACGGAATTAAATGAGTCAAATACGAGAACGGATTTCGAATACGTTTATTTCACACAATCGTTGATCTAGACAGACAATAAGAGAAACGAATCGGAGATGGCATGTGAGCCAACTCGATTTAACCAAGCGTGACCCAATATTTTTATAGTCAGACAAAAATAACTTACAGACACGTGATGAGTAGGGTAAGCAATACACGCACAGACGATCATATATTAACACTTAGAGTTAATAAGCCAATAATTAACAAGGTCAAAATGTGACGCAAGAGGAATGAATAAACTGGCTTGTCTGGAAGCTAGAATAATCTGTGTGGGCTTGAAATGGTACTAGACACTACATATGCATGAAGAGATACTGGGATTTAAAACCGAGATAAAGATGAAGAGTGAATACATCTACATCATTGTGAACGAATCCGAGTTACGTCACTCAAATTCTTAAAACAATTATTGCAATTATCATGTGGACCCCAATCAGACAGTCTGGATTTATCAGCATAACTCAGACCAATAGTCAATTAATTCATGGACTAACCGATGCCACGTTTTCATTTGACCGCCCTTAGCTTTCTTACAGCCTACTTCTGTACTAACAAGTATCACTCAAAGTAGGTGATGGTTAAGCATACTAACACATGTCCTAACCACATCAGTTGACGAAGACCTAATAACTCATCAACTGATTTGCTACATCTGCCAAGTACCCTATGTCTAACCACTACATTGCTCAATCGATCTAACTATAATGCGCGAACAATGCTTCGAAGACGCTTATGATCAGAAAACTTCAGCCTACGAATGTTTCCTACTTTCCTTGACCGCGTTTAACAACCGAAAAGTAAAACAGAGCAAACTGCTGCATGGCATACTCGTGTTTTACTCGACAGATAAATATCGCGCCTACACCACAAGTGACGTTACACAAGCTACGTGTTCGATAAGTGTCACAGAAGTATAAATATATTATTGATGGTAAACTTGAATAACTACTTCAATTTACTTTTTATTTTAAGATTTTTCTCCACTAATAAAGTGTACCTAATGCAGCAATGTCGATAAGCATATATCCGGTCGGAAAATAATTCGGCGAACCGTCCAACTATGTCCGAACACAATAAGACTAAATTTGTCTAAGTATTCCTATCTAGTTAAACAAAAAATTGGCAGGTGTTGATTGAAGACAAATTTTGGGTACTATTCCACTCCCCTCAAATACCAGCTTTTATCTGAACGATAGGTAAAATGACAGTTCTCATATAATGCATAAAAAATGGCTCACCGATCTTGAGACATTATCATTTCAACAATCATTTATAAACAATGTTTCTGAAGTGATTACTGTGACTGTAATAAAATTAACTAGAAATACGATATTTTATGAGCTTGTGCCCTGAAATATACTGTTTTATTCTTCAGTACTTTGTATCGTAGATGTTAGATGAAAACACGAAAATGGATCACTTGTTGACGATTGTACACTTGAACATATTTCACAAAACTCAGTAGTGTACTCTGAAAATAGCTGTCAGAAATAGTTTTGAACTGGTTTCAGAAAAGTTCATTTTTGATTCACAACACTGTGATTTCACGATAGTTGTATACATGAAACAGCTTAGTAAATTGCTAATTGTTTACAATAAACTTTTAATTACGTTCGAAAGAATATGATAATGTAGAAATTAACATTCTGCTTACCAAAGATTGCATCGCTTCAAATGGATAAACTCTCAACAAACGATTGAAAATTGGAATAAGATAAGCTAGTGTTTTACCCGAACCAGTTTGTGCAGCTGCCATTAAATCAAATTTACCAGTGACACGTTCATAAGGAGGATTATCATCTGTACTTTGACTGGATTCATCTATTTTAACATCAACCTCCTCATATTCATCAACTGACATAATCCCAATGGCATGTTTTTGAACGGGTGTCAGCTCAAACAAACCCATAGCTTGAAGATTATTTAATAGTTTTTGATCGACTTTCGGAATTTCATTGATCTGAAAACAATAGGATGAAATTAGAACTACGTTAGGACAAGAAAGAAGTCTCTTAATTTATTTAACGAGGTACAAGAACGTCGAACTTTAAGATACCATTTTAAAGGTCAGGAAATGTAATATACCAAGTGATTTTTCATGCTACTTACCTGATTTTAAGAGGTGATACATACTGGGTGCATATGAATAGTATTAACAGTACTACGATATTATCATTTCTCATAAAAGTATTACCACGTGCTTTAATGACATACAACTAGTAGGACTATACATGATAATTAAGGAAAAACAAGGTCTCAGACCTGCAAATGGATGTATCAACCATATTGACCTTCAGGCAGATTCCCGGACACAGGTATATGTGCCTACACTAAACTGTAATCATATTCCACGACCTGAAAGTGACATACAACTTCAAACCGTCGCTTATATGTGATGGAGCAACAAAGTGAACAACGCTGAGGCTTGGCGTATATAAACGAAAATGGTTGGTGAGACTAAATATCTATCATTCTGGGGAGGTAGAACATATTTTACGCGTTATTCACCACCTCTCTCAATACCAAATGCTGCCTAGCATAGGTTGGAATGAGGCCAGGAGAATCAAAGGAAGAAATATCAGTTTGTAAAATTAGTGACTATTGGCCTGAATAGTAATCGGTAGCTGCAGGATAAATGGATGCTGTCCATACGATGACAGTGGCTGATTGCTGCGTGATGATTCAGAATCCTTTACATTGACGCGTTATTCACTTCATTTTGATTCAATTTCTAAATTTATTTCATGCTTTTTATTGCGTGTTTTTTAACTATATCTCCTATGTTGAGTGTTTTTACTATTACTGATACTATTATTAACTCAACCTCGCTGGTATTGATCCTGACAATCAGGATTTAAAACTATCTGAGCCTCAACTCAATATTGATTTTGGCAGAAGAGAATTGTTAGTCAATGCTTAGGACGCTAGGCGTAAACAGAATAGTGCACTTGGAATAGAGAAATATTTTACGGTTCCTATTGATGAATATTATCAAGTGATATCGATTGAACTGCAATTTCTAATTACAGAAATAAAAGATGAAAAGGGAGTACAGTCATAAAAGAACAAACAAGAATAATAGGGAATACACTTCAGTTAACAATACAACCAAGAAACCTCTTGGGGAAGTTTCTCTTAGTTTTAAGTAGGAGGAAACTACAGAAGCACTTTAATTGGCTTTTACTATGACCCATGTCTGGCAACGTCTCAAGGTGCTGTGTTGTAAAGAGATATGTAGACCAACAGCTTCCTTTCACACACTAGGGAAATGTCATAAAGTAAAGTTCCTTCTGAATTTTTTACCCTATTCTAGTATCGTAAAGCAGTTTGATGTCGAAATCTAGAGTGACATTCACAGAATACGTTTAGGCCACTGAAGTCGGTGTCCCGAGTTGATGACACTAACCAAACTATATTTACTAACCCTGAACACACATTGCTGAAGCTCAGTATTACCAACTTGATGTTACCACTGAAAGTCAGTAATCCTTAAGAGATAAAGATAATCGAACACAGAGAGTTGCCTAACATCAAAGTCTGGAGAACAGGTTTCACAGACACAGAACAAAACTGCTCTCATCGAGGTGTTGTAAACCCAAGGTTTTGTAACCAGACTAACATTACGATGGCGCCAACGATGGCCCAGACTGCCATAGGTTGCTCTAGTTTTCAATATTCGTAGACCGGTTTTATCTGTCATCCCACCAGCACCAACTCAAATAAAGGAGCTTTTCGTTGATTCACAACAAATCCAGATAAAGGCTCCCACCAGTCTTGGAGAATTACTCTGTATTTAGGAGGATATTGCATGTCATACCTAAAGACAATAATTGACAGATGGTTAAAAAAGTAATTAGTTAGACATGTCACTATGAATGTCGACACGGCATTAGGAAATGATGAAGCGATCAGGTAAGCAATATTAAACCTAGCTATATATTTCTTATCGACGATGACAAGCCAGTGAAAGACGTTTTGAACTGGCATCAACCGAAGTGTTGGATGGGACATGTGCCAAACCACTCTCCCAAAGCAATATGCTAACGGTCAGAAATAAAAACAAAAGGAAGTCAGTTCGTACCGAGGGTTAGTGTATACAGTCATAAGTTTCTGGTTCCCAATGCGTAGTGCCGGAGAATAGATGGATACCTTAAGTAATACAACTATAAGCAAATGCAAACGTCACAGATGAATTTGAGAAATTTACCTCGGAATAAGTTCTTTATTCCCCCTCAACTCGAAAGACTTTATTACTTATACTTAGTTTTTTTTCTCGGTTTATTACTTGTTTTTTCAGCGTTCTGAAACGTAGGAGTGTAAACCAATGATCTTCTGTGCAAGCCTCAGTTGATGTATTTGTTAGTCTAGGAGAGGTTGCTTTTTATTATCTGAAAAATTTCAAACACCCCTTTGCAACGTAACAATCACTTGTCGATTTGTTTGCAGATAAAAAAAAGCTAATTTGTTACTGAAATGTAAAATATGGTAGTAACATTTTTGGTGTTTAGGTGTTTAAACTGTGAAACTGTCGAAGTACAGAAAAATGGTTGTAACACAAAGCAGTGGATTTGTTCGGTAAATTATACGAAACTTACGATTAACTTACATTATTAACAATTTCATAAGAAAAGTTCTCTGTCACAGGAAAACCGGATAGGGAAGCATGAGCGGCATGTGATAAGTAACTTTTTTCATCCACGGTGGGTTTTTTTTCATTAACACCGAATATGGATGTTTTCAAATCTTCCCTTTCTGGTCTCGATTTCATCCAGATATGTGGCGGAATATACCCTGGTGGCTGGCTGAAGCCACTGCTTCTTGAGTTCCTATCAAACTGATAACTTCTTGATATTTTAGTTAGGGTATGACGTAATGAATGTAAAGTAATTTTATGCTGACTCAGAATTACTCTATTCATTTCTGTGATAGTATAAGTTTTGTGTTATTTGTCAGTAGACTTAATATCAGCTAAAATGTACCGAAACAAGTAGTTGTGAATACAAAAAGCAAACTTTTTTCAATATAATAACGAATACATAGATTACTTAAAAACAATGAAATCAAAAAGGAACTTGTGGTATGCAATAACTCTACCTAGGAACTTTTGAAATTTCTCATCAATGACAAGATTTTTATTACGTTCACAAACGAAAAGATTTAAGCATTTAATTTATTATCAGTCATGTAACGGGATATATTCAATAAAGACTTTGTGGTAAACATCATAGCCGGAACGAACAGACTTTGGACAACTGTGATACGTGAGGTCAAAAGGTTATAACGGGACATTTTTTCATAATGTAACTTAGCTGTCTGTCTATTATATATCCACCTGCAGTTATCCTAGACCCCCAAATGTCCTGGTACGGCAGAGTCATGTCTCCTCGAAATGCTATCACATGGCCACGTGCATACAATCACTGCCAGAGAAGTCCTACTTACTGCCATTTCACGGTGAGGGTGCTCTTTATAAAATTGTGAAGACGAAGAGCGAATGTCCGGCGCTCTGACCGGGCCAGTGGACACGGAGAATCCACCTAGGGGAGTCGGAAAACTCTGTTTTTAAACCAATGGTGCACATAGGCCCCACGGTGTTGAGGCAACAAATGGCGTATGAAACAATCGTTGGTTATCGGCTACCATGGGACTGCATCTGCTGACGTCGCTTCATTGCCTTGTGGGTCAGACCTTTAGGTCAAATGCTCCGGGTGTGACCGCGTTAGAAAACCGCCTGCTTCGGTTTGGGAAGACGGGCAGTATCCCAATCCCTCACACAAATGGAATGATTTATATGGCACATATGCATTTGGTGCCTCCGTGTACCAATGTTTGTGTTTAAATAAATTAATAATATCCCAGGATTACTGCAGTTCCCAAGTCCAACTAAGGAAATGTGCACCATTCCTACAGGTGAAGAACATCTGAGACTAAAAACAACTATCAGCCAACATCAAAGTCAGAATCTTCAATACAAATGTCAAGACAGTTTTGCTGTACGGGGCTGAAACTTGTATAACAACTACACAACCATCATCAAGATGGTACAGGTATTTACCAATAGTTGTCTATGCAAGATACACCAGATCTGTTGGCCAGACACCATCAGTATTCCGGTATAGAAGAAACCAGTTTATAGCTGAGAAAGGAATTAGAAAAAGATGCTGGATACGGATAGATCACACTAAGGACATCACCAAACTGCATCACAAGTCAAGCTGTAACTTGGAATCTTCAAGGTAAAGGGAAAATATGCAGACACCAGAAGAATGAACAGCAACTAGGAGGAAATCAAAGGTACTGCCCAGGACAGAGTTCGATAGAGAATCCTGGTGGGTGCCCTATGCTCCTCCACCAAAGATGATAGGTGTAAGTCTGTTTAATATAGCTGTTTAGATATCCTGTTCAAATTTACAACGAATATGTGGCATTATGCAACGACCAACGCATACGCTTGGAGAAGTGTGGAGATTTACTGGTCTTCAAACGTGCTCTTTTTCTATAAATTTGTGGTGAGTAACATTATGCAAACGTCAATTAATATTACCCATACCCAAGCTTTACATTCAGAAAATGGAACATTCTATGATAGGAGCCGGAATTAGAAATTTGAAATGACACGACCATAAATCAGAGGATCACAGATTAATGGTACTAGTTTCGTCTTAAGATTTATTCAAGAGAAGCATATACGTACAAGAATGTGACGTTTTTTTCATAACTATGTGATTTATCAGGTCAAAATGATAGGACCACAATAAGGAAACAAAAGTAAGTGACTTAAAATTACCCTGCAAAATCAAAGCCGGATAATGTTTAGGGAACAATTTCTCAGGACTGAATTTATTAGTGAATGAAATGAATATAACCTTAGACCTGATTTTTCCAGGGTGACAAATGCTTTTGAGATTTGAAACGAAACCCACATCCCTACAAAGTGTTCCTCAATGCTAATTCCTAACCATAGCTGCTGGCCCTACATTGGAAGTGGCTGAATTGTTTTCATTACATAAAATGGTACTACGACTCAGCTCTTTCCCTTGTAAGTACGCCGCCAATACATCGTTGCAAACAACTGTTATGTTCAGTCCTTGATAGCTTTTTGACTAGTCTGAGGGTACGTATTGAAATTGGGGGGTGTGAGGAGCAGTATGAGAATCTGGATGAGACACCGTGAAGAAAAGCAAGCCAAAAAGACTCAGTAGGTACGTAGAATGCACTTACGTCTAGTAATGGAAGCAATCAAAAACAACTAAAAATGATAATTAGACAATCTGATAATCAAAGTTAGAAGTTGGTAGCGTGAACTGCACCCTGACTTCTCGAAACCCCCTCCCCACAACTCTGTTACAGCTTCAAATGACAAACTATGTTTAGTTGAGTTAGTGTACTATTTGTTACTTGGGATCTGAGTCTGAATATTAAGAGAGCATTTCTGGTTATAGAAACGTACCATTTACCCTATGCTCAGTTTCAAACAGAAGGGTAACACAGGTCAGTAAGTTTTAGCAGAAGTAATCATAAAGTAACATTTGAGTCCATTAACTTCAGGGCTCACAGAGTTAAAGTAAACATCGAGCTCTTTTGAAAGGCTCTGAAGGATGTGTCTTTACCATTGTCTTTGGTAAGGAGCCCATATCTTTGTTATTTTGACCAAGAGAAAGTTTGCACGAACTTTTGTGAGAAATCTGTAACGGTAAATAAGTCCGCAAAACAAAAAATTCTGACAGTCTTTGACATCGATGTGACCGCATTAGTTTTACTGGGACCACCTAGCTAGATGCGCTCGTTCATGCATCCGCACCAGATTACGAGTGGGTACGTCATTCTTAACTTCTCCTACAACAGCCAGCTTAGATCAGTCAACTTCAGTGGTGAGCCTGACGTGATCTGGTACACCTATTCGTGAACTGTGAGTCTGTTCGGTTTTGGAACTTTATGAAACAATTTTAACTCTAATTTTGATATTTTGTAATACCTTTTTCGTATTTGTAGCTTTTTTCCTCGTTTACTTCTGTACTTTATATTCATTGTGACCGAACAGACTCCGAAGTCATTTAAGATCAGGCTTCTTACGCTACCCGCGTTTCAGCCAATGCCATTCTGGCACGATAACATCAAAGCCTGGTTCTACTAAGCGGAAGCTGACTTATACGGGCACGACGTGACTGGTCCATGTGCACATTTCCTCTCAGTAATGAAAGCACTTTCGTGCGAACTCAACAGGTAGGTCACGTCTAGTATGTTTACTAGTGGTTTCGGAGCCTTACGAAATCCTGGAAAAGTTTATTCTTGAACGTGGTGATCTAACCGACCGAAAAAGTTTAGATTAATTCTTAAGTAGCATTGATCTACTTACTAACGGACATATTGTTACGAATGAAGGACGTCAATGGCCAGCGGACATTCGACGATGGCCTGTTTAGACAACTTTTCTTGTCTAAACTTCCCTAACAGGTGCAGACAATTCTTGTCTCACTTCAAAACAACACTGTAGACGAGCTGGCTGCATCTGACGGTCGAACTCTGGAGATCACCAGGACTTCTAACGTCGATGTATTTCAGTCGAAGTGAAACCTCAAACGACACCAAGTGACGCTAAGCAACTCTGTCATACTCTGACATGTTACCTTAGTATTCGTCATGACCGTAAACTATTTCAAACTCCTCCAAGCAGTATTTCACGAAAACTATCTATCTTTAGATCACGAGCGGTAAATGACCCTGATTGGTGCTGGTATCATGATCAGCACGGAACATCTCGAAGTTCCGGAACGCCCTGCAGTTTCTCATCCTGCACGCGTTAAAGGCGACCGTAGCCAGCGAACATAGCCATCTGTTATGCATTACTGATGAGATGACGAAAGTTCACTACCTTGTCGACCTCGATGCAGAAGTAAGCGTTCTTCTTGAGAATTCTAACCACCGATCGCATGAAGCAGTTTTCAACTTACAGACCAAAAGTGGGAAACCAAGTGACATGTACGGTAAGCGATACGTGCATCTTAACGTGAGTTTACTCAAACCCATCTGCTGGATCTTCGTTGTTGCAGATGTTTAATGCCAATCTCTTGTACAGACCTACTACAACTCATCGATACGCACAAACGGAGGTTAGTAGATAGAAATGTCAGGCTTGGTGTTTGTATAATTTCTTTTTGCGCTTGTGGATTATCCCCATTCACAGTAAAACACACGACCCATCCATGCCATTAATAGATACTTGACAATTACCCTAAGATATACCAAACGCAACCAAAATCGTCTTGTGTGACCAGCAACGTTACACATTACACCATGACTATAAGGCCACCTCGAAAGCGCGCCAACCAGCTCCCGAAAAGCTGAGGTTGGCTAAAAACGAGTTCGACCACATGATAGATTCGGTCATCAAAGAGCATTTGGGTATCTCCCTTGCTCATGGTCCCTAAAAAGGATGGAAACGACTGGCGTCCAACTGGTGACTATCGGCGATTGGATGTGAAAACTATCCCTGATCGTTACCCGTTGCCTCACATCCACCTTTCGATAGATGCCTTGAAAGGTACAACAGTTCTATCGAAAATCGGCTTGGTTAAAACACATTACCAAGTTCCCATGTCTGCTGACGACATTCCTAAAACCACTATCATCACATCTTTCGAATTCTACGGGAGTGTGGAGGGCCCTCCCTCCCTCTGGAAATGCTCTCACACGGCTAAGCGTACACAGCCCCTGCCAGGAAAGTCCTACTCACTGCTCTCTCGTGGCGGGGGTGTTGTTTACGAAATTGAGAGGACGAAAAGCGAATGTCCGGCGCTTTAAACGGATCCCAAACCAATGGTGCACATGGGCTCCACTACCCTGAAGGAACAAATGGTATATGAACCAATCGTTGGTCACTGGCTACCATGAGACTGCATCTCCTTACGGTTCTCCACTGCCCTGTGGGTCAGACCTTTAAGTCGGAGGCTCCGGGTGCGGCCCTCTAAGAAAACCACCTGCCTCAGTCTGGGCAATGAAATGACGATATTTACGGAAAATACTACTCTTGATTCGATTAACAGTCAAACAATTCGCATTATTAATAATAATAATATTATTATTATTTACTACGTTACTTATTCACTCTCTTTTATTCCCACTTCGTGCATCCTTATTTTTCAACCTATACAGCAGCTCGTTTATAGTGAAAACTCGGTTTTATTTAAACGATCACGAGTCACTGACTGGTTAAAAATTGAATGCTACCGCCAAATACGAATACTGAAACAGCTTTTCTAGAACTACCATTCAAACTGGCTTCCTTCGACGTTGGCACACTAATGCAGATCGGAAAACAAATAGGGCTGAGTATATCTGTGGAAAGTCTTAATATTGACGTTTGTTGTCTATCCGAGACCCGTATTCAAGACTCTGGCGAAGTACTACAAATTCACTCTTCATCCATCTCTTTAAAAGTCTTGTTTTATGTGCATTTATCGGGGACCCTGTGGCATCTTCGTCTGGTCTTACTGGAGTTGGTGTCTCAATAAGCGCTGGAGCTGATGCAGCACTAATCTATTTGATTTCCATTAACAGTCAGTTATATGCTGTTAGATTAGAAAGCTCCACCAAATTGAGAAGAAATCGGTGTGAGGAACGATGTCTTTTCGTCACCTCCGCCTATGCCACGACAGATCGGAGCGCGGATGCAATCAAGGATGATCTCTACCACTAGTTATCTGTTCTTCTGCAGGAAGTGCGTTCGACAGATGTTGTAGTACTAGCTGGAGACTTGGATGCTCAGGTCAGGCGTTTAAGCACAGAGGAGAATCGTTTAGGTGATCGATGGAGAATTGTTGCTCGCAGGACAGATAACGGGGACCGTCTACTGCAACTGTGCACAGACCATAACCTGTTTCTGACTAGCACTGACTTCCGGCACAGTCATCATCGATGTGCTACCTGGCGTCCTCCTTCTGCATCTCAAGCCTGGACTCAGATTGATCACATCGCGATCGGCTACCGCTGGCGTGGTTGTGTACAAGACTGCTGCTCCTTTTGAAGTACCTATCTGGACTCTGACCATGCCTTCGTCTGCGCCAATCTTACCTTACTTTTCAGTGGCCGACAAAGTGATCGTCACCAAAGGATTGATGTTAGCAAGTTGGTTGCAACTTCTGTTGCAGGTAAGTATCGAACCGAGCTAGCTTCTAGGCTAGCTACCATTCCACCGAAAAGTATAGATGAGCATTGGTTACAACTGCATGACACTATGCGACCGCTTGCGGCTGCGCGAAACGTCACGCTTATAAGCACTGGGATTCTTCAAGCTCCTTACAACTCATCGAAACCCGTCGGTCTACTACGGGTGACTGTAAGTTTGACCACAAACGAAGACTGTTACGTAATGAAATTGGACAAAGCTTGAGTGAGGACCGAGAAGCCTGGTGGTCGGGGCGTGCTAATGAGCTAGATGCAGCAGCTGCATCTGATAACTACCGGAAGCTCTTCCAACTCATCCAAGCCACTGGCAGCAAGAAGTTTGGTGAGAGAGATACGATCTGCGAGGATGACGGGATGCCAATCACTAACATCCATCGACGTCTTGGAAGATGGGCAGAATTCTTCGAAGGGCAGTTCAACTGGCCTGCTACTCCGACAACACCGGTCAGACTGTCCTGCCCTACATGGCCGGTGATGACTGATCCACCAAATGGGGCGGAAGTCCGCAAGGAACTCCAACTCTTAAAGCGCTACGAATCGCCGGGCCCAGATGACTTACTTCCGGCTCTTTTTAAAGATAATGACGACTTTCTGGTTAAGGAACTGACTTCGTTATTTACAAAGATTTGGAACTAGAGAGTATTCCAACATCATGGAACGAGTCGATAGTTGTCCCTATCTTTAAAAAGGGTTCACACCGTTCCTGTAACAACTATCGGGTGACAAGTTTACTTCCAATTGCGTCCAAACTATTGGCTTCTGTAATACTTCGTAGGTTGTTCAAAACCCGAGAAAGATTGACTCGCGATGAGCAGGCTGGGTTTCGTTCTGATCGAGGATGTTTTGATCATATCTTCACCCTCCGCCAAATGCTAGAACACCATCATACTTATCAAATGCCAACAATCGTAGTGTTTCTTGACATCAGGGCTGCTTTCGATTTGTTGAACAATACTGCTCTCTGGGATTGTCTATTGAAGAAAGGCGTGCCTGAGAAGTTTATTAACATTCTAAAAGCCCTATATACAAACACCTCAGGTAGAGTGAGGGCATAAAACCACCTTAATCCATCGTTCCATTCAAACAGTAGGGTTAGACAAGGTTGCCCAATCTCACCAGTCCTCTTCAACTTTGCCATCGATGACATTCTGGAAACAACTCTGACAGGTGTAA